CAAGTGGCCTCAGTGACTCTCTAAAAAGGATGCAAATGACCAGCTGTCTGCAAGGAGCATCAATCCTTCCCTTCCCCACCATCCAGTCAGAGCAGAAGAAGCTTCTTGGAGGAGAAGCGAAAGGTCTTTAAAGAAGACACAGACAAACCTCCAAGTGGCCTCAGTGACTCTCTAAAAAGGATGCAAATGACCAGCTGTCTGCAAGGAGCATCAATCCTTCCCTTCCCCACCATCCAGTCAGAGCAGAAGAAGCTTCTTGGAGGAGAAGCGAAAGGTCTTTAAAGAAGACACAGACAAACCTCCAAGTGGCCTCAATGACCCTCTCAAAAGGATGCAAATGACCAGCTGTCTGCAAGGAGGATCAATCCTTCCCTTCCCCACCATCTAGTCAGAGCAGAAGAAGCTTCTTGGAGGAGAAGCGAAAGGTCTTTAAAGAAGACACAGACAAACATCCAAGTGGCCTCAATGACCCTCTAAAAGGATGCAAATGACCAGCTGCCTGCAAGGAGGATCAATCCTTCCCTATTGTTGTGTTTTCTTTTTTAACATGCTGTATTGTCTATTGTTTGTCTTCTCCCCCTCCCTCTTTTGAATTGTGAGCCGCCCTGAGTCCCCCCAGGGAAAAGGGCGGCATACAAATAAAGGCAAAACAAAACAAAACAAAACAAAAACAAACGTCCCCAAATTCCCCCCTCCCCCCGTTTATGGCAGGATGCCAGCAAGTGTGGCGAAGATGGCAGAGCTGATGAGTTAAAACATATTACATGTGACAACACACATGTCCCTTTAAATGAGATCTGACCAAAGCAGGAGCGCTACATTTAAAACATGAATGAAGAAAAGAAGTCCTGGAAGGTGGTTTGGGGTTCGCCAGATAAGAATTAGCTCTCAAAGGCTTTTTCTTACCAGAATTCCAGACATCCCACCCTCCCTTGGCCTGGGAAACAAAGAAGTTTTTATTTTGAAGTTTAGGACTCTTAGAAGTTATCAATCAAACAATCAAACATTATAATTTAAAAAGAGAAACATTAATCAAATCAAAGTACAAAATCACTATGTTAGCAAATACAAAGTCCATGTTGATACTACAAACTCCAGTTGTGTGCCCCTCAGGTAGGATCTCCTAATCTACTAACCGACCCCAAAACGACCCTCCCTCATCCGGGCCCCGGGCCAATCGACAGAGCCAGGAGTTGCGGGTGAGTCTCACCTGGGGCGGACAGGGGCTGCGGCAGAGAAGGCCCTTCTCATGGATTTCCTCCGTCGAGGGGGTCAGCAGCAGGTCCCTTCTGCCAGAACAAGTCCCACAGGCTAATCCCACTGGGCTGAGACACTTCCTCCAGTGGCCTGGACCCATGTCAGGAACAGTTTTTATAGATAATAACCAACAAATATAAGTATTTAGAAGATTGCTTTTAACAGGAAAATGTCAAAATAAACACATACCCCCAAAATTAAATGCATAAATATCATACATCAGTTGGAAGAATGGGAAATTTGAATATGATCATTTACTTGGTCATTCTTTCCCCCTCATTTTTAAAAAATAATTCAGTGAACAATTTTTAGAAAATTAGTTATTTTAGAAATTAATTCTTTAATTTTGAGGCTGTGATAGAGTAACCAAGTGGACAGGGGTGAGTGGAAACATTAAGTGGGGGAGATAAATATTACTCTGAGAGGCCTTGGAAGAGCCCCCCCCCCAAGTCATTGCTAATGTCCAATTGGCCACTAATCCTCCCTCCTTCCCCGAGGCACCGCAGGCTATAAACAGTTTGGGATGCAGGCACATCTCCCGAACTTTGGAGAAGGAAGTCAGAATGTCTGGTATCTTTGAATCAGCAGGATGTGAACTTAGCTAAGCCCCCAGAGGGATTTTAGGACTTGGAAAGCGGTGATGTAGATTTAGTCACAGGGTTAATACACAGGGGGTTCGTTTCGGGGGCCTGAAGTGACACCGAGGCCAAGGGGGCAAAGCATCAACCAAACAAGGATGACAACATTTGATCTGCAGACCCCCCCCCACCAAGGAAATGAATTTCTAGAAGGGCCCCCCTCGGCTGAACGGAGATCTGACTGTTCAGAGTGGGGTAGGGTGGGAGAGGAAGGGAACGGTGGGTTCTTCCCCACGGACTTACTTTGAACGTTGAGGGAGCAGCGGGTGGCCACTTGTGGCCCAGTCTGGCTGAGCTTAGAGCCAGAGACAGTTGACCGTTTGACAGGTCAAACGGTTTCGTTTCAGTTTGCGATATCAAGTCTTTCCCATGTCACCTACGATTTGCCTGGTATTAAGCCCCGAAAGATCCAGGAAGCGTCGCCTTAATTCTGGAAAACAATAGGCGCATTAGTGGCCAGGGGAAGGGGCGCTTCCTTCAAAGGAGGGCCCGGGTGGCTGCAGCAGGTGTCCCTGGGCAGCTGCCGAAAGCTGAAAACGCTGCTCCGTGTTGCCCGGCCTCCTCTTCCTTCCCACCCCAGTGTGGCCAAGTGAATCATCCGTCAGCTGTGAAAGGAGATCTGGGAACAAAACCACTTTTGCAAGGGATTACAAAGACCAGGAAATACAGGTGATTACCAACAGGTGCCTTTGATACCTACATCCGCTGCTCTCTCTGGCTCTTTGAACTGACTTTGATATGCTGTAATTAGGGATGGTTGGGGGGAGGAGGAGGAGGAGGAGGAGGGGCTGGCCTCTGCTGGCCTGCTTCCCTCCAGATCCCTTTGAATGTTTTGTTTTGAAGTAGTGATCAAAGGGATTTTGGGAGACTGGGGGGTCCAGAGAGGAAGGAAAAGGGAAGCAGGTCCCTATAAATAAGGTGGTGGAAAGGCCCTAGAGGGAGGTTAACTCCTTCATCTCTCAGAGGCAGAGCATCCTTCCCACAGCAACCTGGCCCAGGTGCTTCAGGAAAGGGACCCCCGAGTGATGCTTTAACCCTGGGAACTTCAAAGCTTCCAAGGAGCTCCAGAGACTACCAAAGTCCTGCAGGGCAGAAGATGGAGGCCACCTTCCTTCTGGGGCTCACCTGCCTCTGCTCCCCTTTGACTGCTCTGGTTCTCGACTTCAATACCATCAGGGGCTCGGCTGAAGTGTCCGGCTCCAGGAAGGTGAGAGGTTTTGTGGGAGCCGGTTGCGAAGGAGGCTTCAGAGGAGAGGAGGCTGCGCTGAGCAGAAGTCTGATTTTTGGATAGATTCTGCTACCATGGAGGGCCTCACTCGGGAGTCTGAAATGCATGGGACACCTTGGATATGGGTGTGAATTGGCCCTGGGGAATCTCCCTTCATTCCCCCCCCCCACTTTCTGTTGGGAGAGGGGGGTCTGCTCAGGGAACCATCCAACTGTTCTCCAGTAGCTAAAAGCAAACACTGGGACTGAGGAGTTTAGCCTGGGGATCAACCACTCTCCTGCTTTAGGATACCTTGCTGAATGTGGCAGACTTCCCTCCCTCCTACTTAAGTACTCCTATTGGGGGGGGGGGATGAAAACATGGGGGGGGCATGCCTGTTTGAGCTAACCTGGACCACATCTTTTAACTTTAAAAAAAGGAGGGGATTTAAGAGGCTGCCCCTCCCCAGCCCCTCCTGCTCCAGGCCTCTGCAGAGGATTCTTACTAGGATAAAGAGCCCCCCTCCCCAGGCAGAAAGGGTCAGCCATGACTTAGGGAAGGATCCCAGAGCACCGTCATTTCCTCTAATGAACCCCCTTTGGATAGTTTCCAGCTTGGACTCCCTGGTCTGTACCTTGTACCCCAATTTAGATCAGCCCCCCACTCCCTCCTTTCCTGGCAAGCTCTTGGACTGAGACGTTGCCCCTCTCAATCTTGCTTCTTGCTGGTTCTCTCTCTCTTTCTCCCCATCCCAGGGGTCTTCTAACACTCCTCCCTCCCTCCTTTCTCTAGGGCACCCAATGCTCGACAGACAAAGATTGCCAGGTGGGGAAATATTGTTACAAGCCCCAAGAGGAGCAGCTGCCGTTCTGTGCTCCCTGCCAGGGTTTACGGAGGAGGTGCCAGGGAAATGGGATGTGTTGCCCGGGGACCATCTGTATCAATGGTAAGTCCTAGCCCCCACAGCCCCTCCAGGAGCCTTCCCCCAGGCTTAGAGCAGGGAGACTAGACTGAGATGGGGGGCTGAGACGGTGGGGAGCGGGCGGGCAGTATCCACTTGCTCCCTATCTGGGCAAGGTCTGATCTCTCGCAGAGCAGCGACGTGCAGTCACTAGAGGCAGGGGAGGCGGAGCCTCACCAGTCTCCTGAGGGAAAGGAAAGAATTTTAAAGAATTTTTTAAAAATAATTAAAGCCAGGATAGTTGCTACCAGATTTCAAGTCACAGTGACTTGGTTTCTGCTCTCAGTGTTAACTAAAGGAGGAGGACAGAGAACACGGGGCGTCCTTTGCATAAGGAATTTTTCACCTTTTAAAAGTTAAGAGTTAAAAAGTAGGCTGGGCTGGCTGCAGGCCGGGGCAGCAGGATTGTTCGTCGGAGGAGGCGGGGGGGGGGGGAAGGGGGGGGGGGGGGG